GTTATACATCGGTTTTGTAGAACCAGTTTCTTCACTATGGATACATTCTCTTCAGTTACCGCGAAGGATGGGCGCCCTTCACGATCTTTATCCATCACCGACATGAATCCAGTTTTAAATGTTATTTCTCAGTATGTCACAGAATTAAAACGAGGACATTTGCCACCGTAGATTTGGACCATTTCCTGAAAAATGTCCGAAGAGGATTTTCCTTGCAAGTGTAGAAACTTGATAACTGAGCAATATTCGACAGACTCCATAATACAGCTTTAGCAAAGAAAAACAAACGTTTTTGTGCCTGGTTTCACAGTCCACGCTCGCTGCGCTGACCAGTGCCTTATTATTGTCGCATTTTCTTGAAAATGTGCTTAGTGTGGTCCAAAGATTTTATCTAAAGGCAGGTGAAATCGCATTACTCTACCATGAGTCTTTCATACCCAGACCAAAGCCTTATTGAACCCCTTTCGTATTTCACATTATGAAAAGGCTTTCGAGTATCTCAAACAAAAAGTACAGCTGTGGTGGAATCAGGCGCTGGTCAATTGAGGGGGGGGGGGGGGGCATTTAGAGTTATTGGTATCATCTTAAAGCTTGTTTATTTGTCTTATTTTTGATGAAAAAAACTACCCATCTGTCTTCGATAAAAGTCGAGATATTTTGGAATGAAGGTGGTGAGGATCATGTGGTTGGTTTCAGAGGTAAAATGAAAGAGAAAATGGCTGCCAAAGTTTGGTTATTTCCAGAGCTTGACAGTCCTTGGAAACTTATTTTTTGTGCCTTCAATCAACATTTTCAGTAAAAACCACTTTGCAAATTGTTTTTTAAGGGACATAAAAGGTGTTGAGTCAAAAATGAAAATTCGACAAAGATTGCCGAATTGGAGGGGAAGTGCCGTTTTCTTCGATTCCACTATTCTAACGAGCGCCTGATTTCACCACGGTGCCTCACAATTAATGTTAATAACAGTTCAGAACATGGACTATTTTTTTAGCCCAGGCTTCTCTGTTCTACTCCTTGTTTCCTCTTACATAGCTCAGCCTCATTCGGCTTGAGGGAGAGCCGCACTTACTTACACTACACTATTCTTGAGAAGGAGGGGGGGGCTCTCGTGGTCTAGAGGTTGCGGTGTTCGCCTTTCATTCAAGTCCCAGGTTTGAAACCTGACTGTGACGGAAAATGTTTTTCTCTAAGATGTTCTCCTTTCTCCTCCTTTCCTGCTCTCTAGCCTTGTCTGTCGTCTGCTTTCATTTCCACCCCATCCCCACGCCCTTTTGCCCCCTCCTCTGGGCTGCCAACTCTTTCTGCAGCCTTTCTACTGCTATTCCTTGGCTCCTTCTTACTGTTGTATTTCAGCCACACCCCTGGCAATATGGTAAGTAAGATCTAACTCCTAGCCTTCTCGAATTAGGGTGAAATATCTCAGAGGCCCCGTTTGTAGGTTGTTCGCGTTAAATCGATAAGAGTAGACTTCGGCCGTTTCTCAGGAAAAAATTCAAAATTAATTCCTACCCGACTGAAAATGTTTAATGTGTCCCCTGAGCTCATTTGACCTTTTTCAGTTGCGAGTGCTGTAAAACTTGACAACACAAAATCTGTTGGGGTTTTTTTTGTAAGCACCCTAACCTCTAGGCCACGAGAGCCCCCACACAAATTCTGACCCAATCCTATGTAACACCGGCAGTCCTCAGGGGTGTGTTTGTCACCAGTTTTGTATACAATATATTATTATACCAGTGATCATAGAAGTAAATATAAAACAACACGCTTAATTAAGTTTGCAGATGACTCCGCTCTTGCTGGATTAATAAACCTTGATGAAAAAGAGTATTTCGAAGAAAAATGTATATTTTTTAAATGGTGCTATTCAATTTTTGAAAGTGGACGTCTCAAAAACAAAGAAAATGATTTTTTTTTTATCTTAGAAGAGAAAAACCAACAATCCCACCTCTCGTAATTGAACAAGAAACAATTGAAATCACTGATTCATACAAACATCTTGGTGTTACAATCGACAACAAATTTAAATGGCAAAATCATGTAAACAATATCGTTAAAAAGAATCAGAGGCTGTAGGCTACTTTCTGAGGAAAATTAGGTATTTCAATCTGAATCCATCCATCCTTCAGATATTCTACACCACCACAATAGAAACTTTGATAAATTTTGGTATCTCCTGCTATGGTAGTAATTTGGGAAGACAGCACATCATTAAAATAAATAAGTTGATCAGAAAGGCATAAAGAACAATTGGTAGAGACCTAAGTAACTTTGAATATCTGCTCAAAACAAACGTTCTGAAAATGGTGGAAATAATTATAAGTGATAATAGCCACGCACTGACATCGGGAATTTCAATTATCGACCCACAGTAAAAGATACATTTCCAAAAAAGCAAAAACAGACAGATGTAGAAATTCATTCGTACTAACTGCAGTGAGGTTACTAAACACATTGTGCTACAAAATGAAACACACACACAGAGAGAGAGAGAGAGAGAGAGAGAGAGAGAGAGAGAGAGAGAGAGAGAGAAAGTTTTACGGAATGGGTTGTTTTAGCACGTGAGACATGTATTTACTAACGCCCTGTCTTGTTTTGTGTATGCGTGAGTGCACCTCAGCTTTGTAACATTTACTGCCTTTGTAAACGACCAAGACAAATTTCTCCCTGCGAGATTAGTAAAGATTGCCATTGTCATTGTCAAAACACATACTAAAACAAAGAAAACACTATACTTTGTTGATGTCAAGTGGTGGCCAACAAAATATCGTTCTGCGATCTCCAATTGGACTGCGTGCCACGAGTTTGACACCTCTGGTCTAAAGGCACCAAAGTTCACTCAACTCTGTCCCACATTTTGCACGAAAGTGTACTCGTTCGCTTCCACTCAACAAGTCCTGGAGTCAAGATTTGTCACAACGTTACTTTGATATACTTCGCTGAGATGGGCCCAAATCACAGAATTTTCTTTTGATCACCAGATGGCACGGACGAAACCGTTATCGTAGCTCTCTGCGCCAAAACACTCTTGCATTGAACATGTGACGCCCTTACGCTTCCTACCGCCCCTCCCACAAGGTTCACTCGGACTAGAAATCTTTTTCGCCTGTTTATTTTAGGTCTGGTACTGTTTAAAATGAGTGTGTGTGTATGTGTTTGCGTATGTGTGAGTGTGTGTGTGTGTGTGTGAGAGAGAGAGAGAGAGAGAGAGAGAGAGAGTGTGTGTGTGTGTGTGTGCGTGTATGTGTACAGGTATGTGTTTGCGTGCGCGCGCGTGTGTGTGTGTGTGTATGAGTGTGTGTGTGTGTGTGTGTGTGTGTGTGTGTGTGTGTGTGTGTGTGTATGTATGGTGTCTGCCTTGTTTGTTTCTTTTTTTCTTCCACGGGTATAAACGCAGACTATAAAAATGTCCATACTTTTACGAGTCTCACGCCTATGTATATAATATATAGGGGGGGGGGACTGAAGACTTGTTAAAAGTCCTAATATTCATGAACTCTTTTATTTCCAACCCTGCCAATATGAAATAGCATTATACGAATCAAGCAGTTACGTTCCCGCTTTCCCTGGATTTTAAGAATATCTCCTAAGAGCATCTAATAATGCACACAACAGTTCTGTTTTTCTTCCCACCGAATGGGCAAGCCAACTTGTTGGGAAGAAGAGACCAACGAATGATCGCGAAGCTTGTCACAAACGGTTGAAAAATTTGTGTTATATTCCTCTCTCACTAATGCTGGGCCATCTTGCAGAAAGTCATTTTGGAAAACTAACTTAAGCTGAAAAGTGATCATCCCTGAAGATGAACAAATTGTTAGGACAAGAAATAGAACTATTGGGTGTTAGATGCAAAATCAACATAACATGGGAGAGAAGAAATTGAACGAAACGAGTTCATGAGAAAGATGTGACTTATTGACCTGAGTGCAACAAGCCTGAAAATATCCACATAAGTATTTTTGTTATCAGCCTCAAAATGTTAAGTCTGTCGTCGTCAAATTAAAACAAAGAATTTCCAGTGTGGCCACTGTATCAGAATATCCTTGTTAAGCTTGTGGTATTTGTATACTAATTCACAAGACGGCCCCAAACATAAAACGCAGAGGTGAAATTTTGATGCAAAGTTTACTTAGCTGCCTTCAAAAATTTAATTTGCCTTAAATACGTGTATCTATACTTCGTTACTGCAAATGAGAGGTGTCAAAATTCAAATTAAGACGGCTTTTTCCGCAAATGAAATTCGTCTAAAGTGACCAAAATATTATTGAACAGCAGCAATAAATGTCCCGTTCACTTCATGAAATTGCCGCAAATAAAATTCTCCCACTATTTGACCTAGTAATTAATAATGTAGTGGTGAATGTTGCCAGCAGTGAGTTAAAGAATAATACAAACAAAACTTTTACTGTTAGTCTTAAAAATCAAAATCAATAGTATCCTGCCTGGGTGGAAGCAATAGATATAATATATTATTTTGCCCCATGAAATGCTATTGAGTTTCATATGCTATCGTGTCAGTTTTAGTTTTGCTTTTGAAAACTTGGATGTTTCAATAAGATTCCATAGATGGCACCCTTTCCCATGTCTAGAAATGGCATGGCCAGAACAACAGGCAGATCAGGGGAGTTCATTTGGATATAAAAAGTGTGCAATATGCTGAATTGCCATAATTGTGTCAACTAATCTTTGAGATATAAGTGCTCTGTCAGCTCGGCCAGCAACAGACTGGGCAATGATGAAACTAAAAGTTACAATTGGAATTTTGCTTCTTAAATGTCCGAAAACAGTTGAAAGGGGCGTTAACTCACTTAGGACGCGTGGTCAGGTCACCAGACAACGCTGTTTTGTGGCAGTTCTAAGAAGAAGCATAATTTCGTTTTTTTAATAAGTTTTTTTTTTCCCGTTCTGCTTTCTTTATCTGAACTTTTTTTACAGATGTACTGCAATATACAAATCACGTTTCTAATTTGAGTACTATGACGATTGAAAATCTGCCATGTCAGTGCCTTCAGTCTGCTGCTGATCAGATGTATGTCTCCGAAATCATTAAAGAGTTAAACCTATCGCTCGACGCCTCTGTTGTATCTTTAAGGTTTAACTTTTAGTTCCCGGCGTGCTTCCCTCTCCTGCTCGAATTCTCAAGCTGATGAACTTATGTACTTCTAAACCGAAGGAATGAATAGTTTGTCGGATAACAAACTAACAAACGAATGAACGTTCTTCACATTTTCGTGTGACGCGAAACTGCACGTTTGGCAAGGCAAAATAGACAGTTGTCATCGTTGCACAAACTTAAAACGGCCTAGATCAGTGCTCGCTACTCGCTAATAACGGCGATATCGTCCACTAGTGGGCGGTTTGATAATGTGGTGGGCGGTGGAATCACCTGGATAGGGACAGATACCATGCAATGTCTGGCTTGGAAATACACGTCGGTGGACAGTACTGGGATGTTAGCCTCTTTATGTTAGCAATTAATGTTGGCTCTGACAAATTGTGAAGCTAGACAGGCATTGGTTAAGATGGAGTCCTGCTGGAAGAATACACCATTAGTTATCATAATATACGCTAAACAGATTTCTTCAATGTTTGACAAAAGTAACTTCTGTCAGGCCAATCGTTCTAAATTGTTCTAAAAAACTCATTTCAGTCTAGTCCGTATCAGAGCGATTATTTTTAAAACTTAAAATCTCCCAAAAGCGAAAAAGACAATACAAAACAAATGACAGAAACGATCAACAAACGTTTGTTGTAACCCTCCATTGTAGTAATGCTACTTCCTACACCCTTTTAGCCGGCGTTTATGGTGTAGCGCTCAGGCGCTTCGTCGTCTCACGTACATGATTCAAGTTCGATTCCAGTTTTGGGAGAATTTTGTCAAGCATCTCGTTCTTCCTTTTTGGGCGTTGTTGTGTCCTTCTCCTGAAAAGCGAGGTCGGAGTCAAACTCTTAAATGATCTAAACGGAGACGGTTGTGGCGTAAAAACACACATGTTAAAAGATACCGGTTTCGGAAATTCCAAAGGGGAGGAAAATTAAGCGGGGGAGGGGGCAAAAAGTATGTTTTTAGCAAATAAGAAACAACCACAAGGTAAACTTCCTTGTTTGATAGAGGTGAACAGAGCAGATGTACTAAATGCAACCACTAACGAAGGAAAAAAACTTGCAAAAAAAAATTTTTTGAAGTTCTTCAATTTTTAAAAATTAGGATCGAATTTGATTCACTGGTCCTTTCTTTCGGTTAAGACGTTCCTTTTGTCAGCCACTTTCACTTTCAGACAAAGTTTTTCTGCGAGCAGTGCCTTTTAAAAAAATATCTAATGCTTTGCTTGATACAAAATAGATACCAGCGCCTGTGTTGTAGCGGTTGGATGCTTGGCAGTGGCACACAAGAGACCCCAGTTCGTTTCCAGTGTGGTGTGAACTTTTATTGAATATCACAGTTTTTCTGGTGGGAGGTTCTATCTCTTTCAGCCCGTGCTGGTCCTGCTTCCTAAATTATCTAAATTGTGTCGATGGTGGTGTAAAAATACCTACATTTTTAATACTCTTTTACAAAACAAAAAGAACGCTTTAAGAAGCCCTAACTGAAAAATAGCCCCATTACACGAAGGGTTTAAATTTTAAGATAGGATCAAATGTCAAATATTGTTCACCAGACCTTTTTTCCGTTGAAGCATTTTCTACCAGAGGATCAATGGTGTCGCTCAAAGACTCCAGTAAGAAGGGGCCAAGGAGTAGCAGCAGAAAGGCTGCAGAAAGAGTCAGGACAGGAGCCCAGAGGAGGGGGCAAAGGAGGTGAAGGGGTGGGGACAGAAAGTGGAGACGAAAGCAGACAACAGAGCATTGTTAGAGAGCAGGAAAGGAGGTGAAAGGGGACAATTTTAGGGAACAAAATTTCCCTCGTTATCCGGATTCGAACCCGAGACCTATTGAACGAGAGGCAAACACCTTAACCTCTAGACCACGAGAGCCCCAGCCCGTGTTTTGAATTATACAAATGGAAAGTTGTTTGGGGGTTTTTTCTTTGATTGATATATTTTTTTAAACGTCTATTGCTTTTCGTGACGCAAAATAGGCACCGGCGTCAGCGGTGTAGTGGTTATGCGCATTGCCGTCGCACACAGGAGACTCCAGTTCGATTCCTGTGTTGGGAGAACTTTTATAAAGAAAATCTCGGTCTTTGGTAGTCAGGGTCAGGGTCGAAGCCCACCGACTAAATGAACGAAAATGTGTCGACCGGGTATAAAAAAACATCTAAATTTAATTTTTTTTAAAGAATAGGTCATTTGAAATTAGGTGTTTTTGGCCCCATTACATAATATTATACTTAGGCGAATTATCTCTAGAAGGACTCAGAAGAGAAAAACAACCCCATTCAAATCCAAATTTCATGCATGAGCATATTTGTTAAGAATATAATCCCCTGTACAACAGCGAGTGACCCGTTATAACTAATGCTCAAAATTGTTTAGCTCTTAAGGACATTATTGATACATACGTCCGACCAACAGCAGCCCAAAAGTAAAGTAAAATAAGGCACATTTCGAGACATGATGCACAAATCACAAAATATGCTTTTATTTGCATATTTCATTATACGCATGGCGATGCTTCCTTCTCTAAGTTTTGGATAAAGAAAACAGAATTTTAAAAAAAAATCTGTATGAATAACGAAGTTATGGGTCTTTTTTAATTGAGTGTCCCAAAACAGCTCGTCTTCAAACGTTGTTGAATAATCAGAATGCGCGTACGTGATGTTTTTGGACCCATCCTATCAGTTGTTCATCGTCTTCAATTACTAGACTTCAGGACAAAGAAACAGTATGAATGTACAGGATGCTAGAAATAATTTGTTTTGAGGCAGTCCGTACACGATGTAAACGACTAAAAGCGTCAGGTCAAAAGTCAAAGATAACTTAGTGTACGCCAGAGAGAATGAGTTATGAAAGGAGGTCAGAAGATATGAGGGAGGAAACCGGTTAATTGTTCACTCACGCGTATGGGTCGTTGTATTGGCTCATCCAATGAACAGGCAACGTTTTCATGTGATTCGCCAATGAGTATACATATTATGTCCTAGATCAAATCGTGATGACTTGTTGTTTTCTTCGAGTCGTCGTGATGTTTACAAAGACGCCGTTCTTACAGTGAAAGTGAGCCATTGTGGTTAAAGGGTACACGCAACTAAATGTGATCAGTCTCGTTGTTTAGAGAGAGCTGAATAGAATCATTGTGCAATTCTTTGTTTGTTTCAAAATTGCAAAGTTACAAGCCTGGAGTATTTTGTTTTTGTTTTCTCCTGCTTTTGAGCTGAATTTCTTGTATGGCTTGCACACACTGAGTCGTAGACTGCTTGGTTTGTTGCAAGCTGACGTAGCTTAAAACTAGTTTTGTGAAAAACTGCATTTTGACATTTGATGAAAATTCTAATCACCCCCCACCCACCCCCATACACTCACCGACCTGCCCGCACAAATCAATCTTAACCCCTTTGTCTCGTTCAACAAATGTTAATCCAAACACATAAATTTCGATTGCAATTTACACTGAAAATATTATCGCAATAAAGGCACAAAATGACGGGTTTCCGGGTAAACATTCTGTTGGCCAATACGTTCAAACCTTTTACAAAAAGAACAAAAAATAATTATATTAGTTGCGTGTAACGTTTAAGAAGTAATGTTTTCATCTGTGCAACAAAAAAAAACGATATCGAAATATGCCGAGTCCAAATGAAAACGATGGAGGGGTGTCAGGATTATATCGTCTTTGAAATACTCTTTGCTTTTACTAAGTCACAGTCCAGTCTTACTTTAATCAACACGTTGTTTCAAAATGAAAATATGAGTATTTCCCTTAGTTACTTTCAATTCCATAAAAAACAATACCAAATGACATTGCCAACATAACAAAATCACTGTTTCCCTTTCTGAGGAAACGAGCCGTAGCAGCTGAAATTCTAGCTTTTACAGGAAGTACCTTGACCTGAAAAAATGGAATTGCCTGTGGTAGGTTATCAGCCTGGCCTGATTACCCGGAGGTGGCGTTGGGTATAAGTAGTGGTTAGCGCCCCTTGTCTGTACGTCCACCTGGCTGTTGGTGTCTTGAAGACCCCGAGTGGAGACCGGAATCATGGGACGTAACCTACCTCTCTTAGCTGTAGCGCTCTTCGTGGTAAGGAAACCAGCCTTGATATTTTACAATGTACAATGTTTTGATCGTGCTTTATGAGAAAAAGAAGAGAAAACGTCCAAGCTGATCTCGTGATAATGTACAAAAGATAAGTCTCTGTCCTGCTACAGTACGTGTATACGTTCGTGCTTATGTTTGCTTTCAATTATATTCATTTTACTATTAACTCTGATTTTTTTAAAATAAAATTGTTTCGGTTCTGCGGTATATATGCAAAAGCATACAATGGTTTTATGTAGTTCCCGTACATTACTGGTGGAAAAGTGTAAGTGAAATGGGCTTGAGCTTTGCTTTTACAAAATCAACACTGATGATTTTCGTTTGATCTTCGCAATGAGTACCAGTTATATCAGTGACACAATTGTTTTCATTAAAGTAGTAACACGTATTGTATAGATAGTCTAGATTCGTGCATTGTGAATTAACTAATCAGAGCTCAATTTGCTAGGATTGTAATAATCAAAAGTGATTAATTCCGCAGAGCGCTCTCCTACTTATTTTTATTTTTGTAAGTTACTCTCTTGTAATACCTCTAATCCTCGGTACTAATGTGACGTGACAGTGCAGCAAGTGCCGTAAAACTCTAACTCTACTAAAAACTGAACTCAATAACATTCCCCAGCTGGGTACGAGCAATGCTGCCCTGGTGAGGAAAAGCGTGGAACATCTCACACCTGAAGACATCCTGAACTTGCAGAAGTCACTTCGCGATGTCAATGACGACGATTCACAGTATGGCTACGCGGCAATCGCGGCCTACCACGGCTATCCCTCACAGTGTAAAGATGGTGACCGAGATGTTGCTTGC